GTCCTGCCTCACTGAGCTGGTGTTTCCCAAGCAACAACCGTTGGGAGATGCTTTTGTTCAGAAGAGACAAGTAGCGACAAGTAAGGATATGTGACAGGTTTTTTTGAAATAACAGTGCAAATTCTGTCCAAACTTGAAATCACATAATTAGTTCCCTGACTATGAGATTATGAGTGTTTATTATGTAAATTATGGGATTGTGGTCTGGTAAAAAACCCATCAGATTTCAGTCAAAAGGTGGCTGCATTAACTTAAGGTGAAGAAATTGCTCATGTCATTTGTGGACTTGCCATTGCCACAGACTTCATGTTACAAAAGACCATGTCAATTAATTTTAACTTTAGCAAGCTTCAAACATCTTTCTGCCTGAAACGGTCTATTAAAAATGATTTTGTTTCAAATGACACAAAAAATTTCTATCGCTTCTGAGAATAAAGCAGCAAAACAAATTTCTTTTGCTCTTTTAGGAGAAAAAATACTTTGGTTTCTTTAAAAATATTCTGGTTTTTATTTGTTCAATGTTTTTGCTGCCAAGTGTATGCCTTTTGCCATTCATGTTGTAAACCCCCAATTTTTTCCAAGTTATAAAGAGGCTAATAAAGATTAGTGGAGTAGCTGCAAATTCTGAAGGCTGCATTTGTGCAGAGAAAATACAGTTAAGAGCTCAGCATTTGCAGGCAGCACACATACAGCAATGCTGAATAGTGGGGCCAGTGCCACTTCTGAATTCTTGGTGTCCCTCTGGCTTCTTCGTATACTGTAAGGTAACTTAAGTAAGTGTTCTGACTTTCGTGAGTAGTGTATGAAACTAGTGACTGTTATTTTTGCTAGATGTACAATAATTTGATTTATCCTAGTAGTGCAGATATTTAGGCTTAACTTGATTGTAGATTAAGAATTCTCTTGGAGATGCTTTCCAGTGTGTAAACGGAAGGCCTGCAGTGATATTTTGAGGAAGGGTAGCTCACTGTTGCTGTTCCTAACAAAATTTGTAATCCAGTGTTGTCCTTGAAATATTTGTGCATTTTTTTTTCCTTTTTTCTTAGCTGATAGTTGTACTGTTCTCTAAATATAACTTCATAACTGGCATAACATTTTCATTTTAAAGAGATAGTTTTAATGATGATATTTTCTTATAGAAATTTCTATCATGAAATATCATAGACTTCCATAAATTAAAATATCCTGTTGTTGAACTCTAGAGGTTTTCTGATTATGAAGTTTCCATTGATTCGTGTTCTTTCACATCTTTCTAAATTGAATTAGGTCTTTTTGAATACCCATAGTTTTCAGTGGTGGCTGTGAAAAAACATGAAGGTATTGCCCTGAAAGGCACGGTGGGAAGAGAAAGGGAAAGCAGTCAAGTTAGGAGAAAAGATGTTTTTGTCTTGCTTCCCAAAACTCAGATTTCTTTGCTGTAAGGAGAGAAATTTGTCGTTATGTTTTTATTACAGAGTTATGCAGAGTTAAATAAAGTTTATACTCTTTATTTTTTTCTATTACTGTGTAATCTCTATTGTGATTACAAAGAAGGTGAAGAATTAATGTGATATTTTAACAGGCACTGCACACACCTTTGTTCCATACTTATACTAATGAATTTTTACTCTTGCTGTATTAGAAAATCCCTGAACTCTATTTGCTCAGGAGCAGAGTTGATGATTTGAGACTCTATCATGCAAAAAACTACCTTCTTCCATAGATACAGTGCAAGGTTTAATCCTAGTGATGCAGAAGCTGATGTGCCCACTGGAAATTGTTAGTAGTCCAAAAACTTGGAAACCACCATGTCTTTCAGGGTGGGTTTGACCTGGTTTAAAAACTGAGTTCCTGTTGGATGTTAGCCTAGACCTATATTTTTGTAAAACTTCTTTAAAGAAAAAAAAGCCCAAACCAACCCCCACAAAAACAGCAAATGGACCTTAAATTTTCCTCTTATCTTTGCACCTGAAGACATCAGGAAGTTATCTCCGGGTAGGCTTTTGGAATTTAGACAAATATTGTCAGGATGTTACTTGCCACTGTTCTCCCTTAATCATCTGCTGGAAAACAGTCCAGGTTTGACAGAGGAATAACTGAAAAAAGGTAACATTTGAATTGCAGCCACAGTTTGTTTTGTGAGTCTAAATTTGGTGAAAGGTAAACACCCTGAATCAGGAAGTATTATTTTCACCATTGGCTCCTGAAACAACATTTTTAATATTCAATCAGTTTCAATGACATAATTAAACTAAATGCGTTTCTGTGCTTAATGTCCTGTTTTATCATCCAGATAGTCATTGAGAAGTACTTGATAGTACAATAAGTACAGATAGTACTTGAGAAGCAATTCTAAGAGTACCAATGCTGAGTAAACCAGATGGTTCATTTCCATCTGTGTGTAGCACATTTGGTACCACCTAGGATGGCAGAAATGGAAAAACAGACTCTGATATACCTGAAACCAAAAGAAGCAGCTTCTCTTCTATAGTTCCACTATACTTCTGTCTAAAACATTTTCCTTCTTTTAGTTCGTTAACAGAGACTTGCATGCATAGTGTAGCATAAGCCATTGCATCAAAAGTCATCAGCTTAAACAAGACTGGGGTGACGTTAAATTTCTTTGCAATGAGCATGGGCATGTGTCAACCATCAGATGAAGACAGCTTGGGTCAGACTGCTACTCAGCTGTCTTGATTGAAGCTGACGTGCCCTTTAAATTTTGTACAGTTCAAAGTGCCAAGAAATCCATGATTCCTAAATACAGAAGCTTTGAATACGAGTCTGGCCTCAGTCTGGCACACAGTGAAGTATTTTGGGGTACCATGTGATAACAGTTAACATTGTAAAAAATACCTTATGAGGCTTACTGTTTAAAACTTTTTTCCCAGGTATTTTACATTCATTTGATTAAGGTATGAAAGAGTTACATAGAGGAGCTCAACTAGTGTAGTTCTCACTGAACTGAGACTGACAGAACATTACTTTATCCTCACCTAACTTTTATAAACGTGTATTTCTATCAATGCGCAGCAAGGATTTGAAACAAAGAAAACTCACCTTATTCAAGAACAAATAAAAGAAATTTCTTGGTCATGGTGCTTTGTTAGGTTTTGGAAATAAAAAGGAAGCTTGATAAGGAATCGGGTCAGTTATTGCCTGGAGAAAAGTAGTTCTGATTCTGTCTTAATTCCCTGCCAGAAAATATTCCAAGCTAGGCTTCTAGCACAGCAGAAGATTTCAGAACAGAGCAGCTAATTTCAAATGTCCCAAATTATTTGGATATGTTGAAATTACACGTAGATGAGTTTTTTCTGGAAAACTCTCTTTTGTTCATAGAGGATATTCTGATGGTTGGTTCACTTCATTATTAACTTCAGTTACTTCTTAATAATTGCAGTGACTAAAATTGTTGTTTAGATACTCAGAGAATTTTTGTTCACCCCAAGTTTGCTAGAAGCAGCATAACAGTATAAAACCCCCAAACTGGCATGCTTTGGTTTTCTTTTCTTATTTTTCAGCCCTATTTCCAACCCATTTCACCAGTACTGTTATTAGATTTGGGGATTTCTGAGCAGTCTCATGTTTAGTTGCATTTTTGTCTGAAAAAGTATATACTATACTAGGTTCCTTATCTGTCTAATCTGTTTACCTCTTTTCTTACTAAACTGGACTTCTTCCTTCTCTATCTTGGAATACTCACCATTTATCAACTTCAAATTAAATACTCAGCATATGAAAAAATGTATTTTACTAATATTGAAAAATTAGTCTTGAGAGGGAAAGAAGTCAGTAGACTTGTTCAACATGAAGTTGGAATACATACTTAGTGTACAGATTAAGTGAGAAACACGCATTCATTCCAGAATTCCATTTATGTAACAACAGCTGATTGAAGTCTGTCCTGGTTTCGGCTGGGATAGAGTTAATTTCCTTCCTAGTAGCTGGTACAGTGTTGTGTTTTGGATTTAAGATGAGAATCATGTTGATAACACACTGATGGTTTAGTTGTTGCTAAGCAGTGCTTACACTAGTTAAGGACTTTTCAGCTTCTCCTGCCCTGCCAGCGAGAAGCCGGGAGGGGGCACAGCCAGGACAGCTGACCCAAACTGGCCAAGGGCTATTCCATGCCATGGGACGTCATGCTCAGTGCAGAAACTGGGGGGAGTGGGCTGGGGGGTGCGACCGCTGCTCAGGGACTGGCTGGGCATCGGTTGGCGGGTGGTGAGCAATTGCATCGTGCATCACTTATTTTGTATATTCTTTTATCATTATTATTATTTTCCCTTCCTTTTCTGCCCTATTAAACTGTCTTTGTCTCAACCCATAAATTTTACTTTTTTTTCCCCAATTCTCTCCCCCATCCCACTTGGCAGGGGGGAGTGAGCCAACAGCTGTGTGGTCTTCAGCTGCCTACAGGGTTAAACCACAACAAAGTTGTAGAGCCCATTTCTTTATTCACGCTAATATAATTATAATACCATTTAAATGGTGATGTTGCCAGAGTTAGGTGGAAGGAGATTCAGCTCTTTGGTTTAGCTTAGATGCTGAAGAATGTTTTCAATAGTACTAGTGGAACATAATCTGATGATAAATTAGTATGCTCTAAAACATGCTTTTTATGCACCATAACAGTTTTGAATTATGTTTCACGAGACTAATGTTAAGAAAAGGTTCAGAAAGGCATTTCAACTTAAGACATTTTTGCCCTTTCCAGGTGTGCAGAGGTAAGCTTGAAATCTGGTGGGTGCATGATTTCTTAATAAAGCTGGTTTTGAAACGTAGGTGTACATGCCATTTTTTGGAGGATATTTCTACCCACCTTTGTAGTCCAATACAGAAGAAGATTCCTTCAAAACAAAACATAGCTATGCTAAAAGCAAGTTCGTAATTAAAATTTATTTTAAATGGTGTTACATCTTAAAGGAGGTTCTTCCAAATTTCTGAGTTAAGTTTCAGACGTTTTCTGTTTTGTCTGAACTAGTACAACCAAGGCTATTCTGGTTTTTAAAGATCTTTTCTGTTCCTTCAGGCTTGAATGTAACTTGGTTTTTGTTGTTTGGGTGGCGGTCCTAAATTGTATGTTTGTGATGTGTTGCTCTATCATGTGAAAGAAAGCAAATGATTTTTAAGGAATCAGACTTTATCTCAGAAAGCCATCGGAACAGTTCTCAATGCACCGAGAAGGTCTGCTGGTTTGGTTTTTTTTTTTTTTCTTTTTAACATATATCTGACCATTAGTGCATTTTTGTTTTTATTCAGCTTATTTCTGCTGACATTTTCTTAGTGTTCTGCTGAGATATTTATGCTCTCAAATTAGGCTTAGTGTTGACAGATGTTCTCTCTGTTCCGTGGTTCTGTTTTCCTTTTAAGAACGAGAGGTTTTGATTATTTAGAGAAAGATATTTTGCTTATAAATAGATAGTTGCATTACTTAGTATGTTCTAGGACAGCAGTAATAAGAAAATGGGATTTTTTGAAAAAATGGGTTGCAAGAGTGTGTGTATATGTATATAAAAATACTGATCTATTTAAGCACACAGGTCCATATATCATTCCTTTTTTCAGCTTTTGAGATAACTCAATGAAATGAATATATGTAGATGAGGATGAACCCAATAAAATGTTTTTTAGAAAGGGAGGGGAGAAAGAATCTCTCCATGGCCATTCAGGTTTAGTAGATCTGAATGCCCAATAAGATTCTCCATGAGAAATTAATTATATTCCCCATTTGCTCAGTGCAACAGGCTCGTAATTCAGTTGGTTAAAAGCCATTTTGCAGGAGTCTGCAGAAAGCTTGTTTGAAGATTTCTTTTATTTTTTACTGTGGCTTCAGGCATGCCCTGCTGTGGTACATTTCAGAACTACAGGCATCAGTGAACAACTTCACTTTAGTTTTAAAATATTGAGCGGTAATTAGTGATGGAAGTGGGTTAGTGATAGGGGAAAGATAGTTGAGTATAAGCATACCAGAATTTTTACCTCATTAGCCACAGAATTGTTTAGGACAAGTCAGTTAATGTGTCTACCTAATTCGTCCTGTTGCAGAATGAATGAAGCAGTGATGCTGTCTTAAGGAAAGTAAATGCAGAACCTTACATTTATGACAAACTTGATAATTGTAAAGCAGTACAATGTAACTTTTGAAGTGAGGTGAGGATCTAAGGAACAACAGATTCAAACTCAGCAAAGAATAGTAGTTTGTCACAAATACTGCAGTGACAAGGCAAAACTTAAAGTGAGTATTGTAAGCAGTGTAATTGGTTTACTATCAAAATGGTCAAACGGTTTAGCTGACCTAAAGAACTCGTAAACCAACAAATAGCTTCAAAAGAAGAGTAAAAATGCTTTCTTCCTCCATGCCCCCATGCCCCCCCAAAGGAAAAAGTAATTACTGGACTATGTTCTGATTCCGTCTGGTCTCATTCCTCTGATGTCCCGCAGCTGCAAGTCTGGGATAATGACTGGTCTTAAAATATAATTTATTTAAAGATATAGCACCTAGGATTAAAAACAATTCTTAAATAATAGAATACTTTGTGAGCAGGTTCTAGTTAACCATGTGTCCATCCATAGTTCACTTGGAGGTATAAATACATGTTTGTCATTTTTGTATGCAATGATTTTTTTCTCAAGGCTAACAGTTTGTGTGTTACAGTCTATTTTCATAGTTTCCAAACTACTTCCTTCTTCAAATACAGGAAAGAGTATTTAAAAAAACACAAGCCCAGTAAACTTTCAATCCTAGTTTGCTCTGTCAACTTTGTGTTAAGAAATGATTGCTTTTCCTCTGTGTTCTCACAGTGACTTACACTTAATAGGCATAATTTTCTACTGCTAACGGCTAAAATATGAAGTCTATTTCAATGAATAGCTTTATTTAACTATCAGTAGTTTCTCGTCATTACGTATTTGGTTTTTATCTATTTCACAGGAGCACTGCTGATCTGCTTGTATCTTTTAAAATTCATTACCTACTAAGGATATCTCTCTTCAAACATTTTAAATATTACTTCAGTAATGAAGTTTTTAGGTTGAGACTTTGTCACCATATGAAATGACAAATCAGTCACAATTTGATACCATCCTTGGCACGTTTGTTCCTATGCTTCAATGACAGGCTTTTTTTTTAATAAGCTTTTATTAACTGGCCTTAAATACATGTCATAACAATAGGTTGTTCTTCAATTTCAAACTTTGTTTTAGAAATAGCCAGAGTGCAGTTGCGTAGACTGATCTTTTGCAAATCCTCTGTTACAAAACTTTTCCAAAATGGAAATCAGAATACTTTTGATCATTTCGAGGAATTTCTATTTGTTTGTGTTTCCACAACTCATAGCAAAAGGTTTCTAAGAGGCTATGATCTTAGATGCACCTAACATTTGGTTCAATGTAGGAATAATAGCTGTAAATAAACAATTTCTGTGCAATAAAGCATGAAATATTTCTCAAAAATAATTTACTTAATATAATGATATGATTACCTAGTTAAACAAATCATCCTTCTCAGAAGAACTTAATGTACATTTTGATTTGTTTTAGAGTAATAGAAATCTCTGTACATACTGAATTTGTTTTCAAGTGTATGTCAGATTTTTCTTGCTATTTGGGAATCTCTTGATTTAATTAAACATCCCCTTTAAGATTTTTCTCTGTATTGATTTTTCAAGTTTGAAGATGTGAAATTGTCTGCAAAAATATTTTTTTCTAAGCCCATAAATCAACCGTAACTGAGAAAGATGAGAGAAATTACACACGTTTTCACTTAGTTTATGTAATAGTCTTCCAAGTTACAAGAATTGACTGTGTGACGCTAAGTATTATCTTCCAAGATTATGTAAACTTGGTTAGCGAACAACATTTCTTTTAAAAAGGGAAATTTAATGTGTGTGGTTAATGGATGTGCAGCCTAAGATTTGCAATTAAGCACCCATTCTTGGCTGAGAATAATATACAACAATAGGGATTATTTTGGGTATGTAATTATATTGGCCTTAATATAGATTGTTAAAGTGTAACAAATCTCTCTCAGTACTATAGTAAACATCTTGCATAAAATATTTAATGGTTGTTCTTTTTATTTTTTTAGCTATATATAACTTATCTTGCATATTTTCAGGTACTCACGTCATGGAAGGCTCTGGACGAATGCTTGTAACTGCTGTGGGTGTGAATTCTCAGACAGGCATCATCTTTACTCTGCTAGGTGCTGGAGGAGAAGAAGAAGAAAAGAAAGATAAGAAAGGTAAATTTCACAACACATAAGGATGCTCCGAAGAAAGCTCTTGGGCTTTGTGTAGCCAGAGCTCTCCTCCATTCTTGACAAATAAATAAGATTTTAAAAACTTCCTTTTGGTATACATTTTTGTCATTACATGTCACACAGAAAAACAGCAAAAGCTGTTAACCAATAAATACATTGGATAACAAGATGTTTTTCCAGTGTGAAATTGCAGACTCTCAGTACATACTTAAATGCAAGAGAATACATGGGCATACTCCCATTGCCGTGTCTTCTTTATGTAAATCCATACTCACCTAAGATTTGCTAAGGTTTGGCTCTTGTGCATTTACATCTATGTAACATTTTTTTCAGAAAAAAAAAAAATTGGCCATGGAAATAGCGTATGTCTTTGAGCTTCAAAATAAAATAAAGATAAGATGTGGCTTTTTGCTAGCATAGTTGTTTAAAGTCAGTGAGTGACTTTAGAGGCATTTTTCATTTCTTAAGGAGTAAAGGTCAAACTAAGAGTAGTAAAAGGGAAGAAAGTAGCAGTAAATGTCAACAGAGAGTTTAACTTCGGTGTCCTGTATCAGTTAATGAAATCAAGAAATCTCTTTAGACTCTGCACCTTATTATAGTGTGGACATAAGCAATTGCTAACTTATGGGTCGCACATTAAGCAGAAACATGATTTATTGTGTGTCCTTTCCAGTTTTTGTTCATACAGTCTTGTAAATTGTTCACGTCTACATTCAGAATTTCATTCCAAGTTTGTTCTAAGAATATTTATCTTTCAGACATAATTAAGGGCCAATTAATATGGGTTTTTTTTAGACATTTCCACTCTTTTTAGTGGTTTTCACTATTAATAAAAAAGAGTAGTTATAGCTTTATTGAACATTTACTTAGTATCTGGCAGGCAGTGTGATTCCACCTTTTTTTCATTTCCATCCTTTTAATTTGAAGCTGCAGATGGGAAGGCCAAATTTAAATGGTTTTCATGACCTACAATTTCCATTTCTGAATATGTTCGATAATTGGTTGCACTTGACTCCATGTTTCTCTGAGGAAATCCCTTTTTACTTGATGAAAGGCTTTATGAAATGTTTACCATTTCATTTCTACACAGAAATGCATAATACCTGCTAGGCATGGTAACTTCTAGGAACATGAAAAGGAGAAAGACCGAAACTTCCCAAAGTAAAACTCTTCCATGTCAGACTAGTTTTGAACAATATCTTAGAGTTTGATCTTGCTGTCATTAAGAGAAAGACTCCTAGACATAGACCTTTAGAGATCTGGCAGCACCTGTTTTGGCAACGTCTAAGGATATCGTAGGTGAGAAGGAGCAACTTCAGTACCTGTTTGAAAGTGACAGCTTTCTGCCCGGAGGTCCTTTGTTTGACTGGGTTGGCCTTCTCTGTATGTTGTTTTGCTCAGGACGCTCTTGAGTCTTTCAT